GCTGGAGTACAGTGATGCAATCATGGCTTATCACAACCTCGACCTCCCAGGCTCAGGTGATCCTCCCACCTCAGCCTCCCAAGTAGCTGGGACCGCGGGTGTACGCCACCACGCCCTCCTAATTTTTTTTTTTTTTTTTTTTGGAAAAACAGGATTTAGGGCTGGGTGCGGTGGCTCACGCCTGAAATCGCAGCACTTTGTGAGGCCGAGCTAGGTGGACACCTGAGGTCAGGAGTTTGAAACCAGCCTGACCTACATGGAGAAACCTCATCCCTACGAAAAATACAAAATTAGCTGGGCGTGGTGCAACATGCCTGTAATCCCAGCACTTTGGGAGGCCAAGGTGGGTGGATCACGGGGTTAGGAGTTCAAGACCAGCCTGGCCAAGATGGTGAAACCCTATCTCTACTGAAAATACAAAAAATTAGCCGGGCATGGTGACACACGTCTGTCATTCCAGCTACTTGAAGGGGGGGCTGAGGCAGAGAATCGCTTGAACCCAGGAGGCGCTGCAGTGAGCTGAGATCGCGCCACTGCACTCCAGCCTGGACGACAGAGCAAGACTCCGTCTCAAAAACAAAAAAAACCAAACAGCATTTTATCATCTTGCCCAGGAGGCTGGTCTCGAACTCCTGGGCTTAAGCAATCTGCCCACCTCGGTCTCCCAAAGTGCTGGGATTACAGGCGTGAGCCACTGTGCCCGGCCCAAACTGTACACTTTAAAACAGTGAATTGATTCAGGTCTCTCAGCCAAAAAAATGAAATAAAACAGTGAATTGAATGGCATATGACCTATAGCCCAACAAAGCTTCTTTTTAAGATTCATTTCAAATTTATTCAACACTTATTAGAGTTGTTGACACTGAAGGTTCAAATCCTTAAGTGGCTGAAGACCTGCTGCCGCCCACCCTGTGCGTTTAAAACTCACCACAGCGGGGCATGGTGGCGGGCGCCTGGAATCCCAGCACTTTGAGAGGGCAGATGGCCTGAGGTGGCCGGGTCACCTGAGCCCAGGAGTTCCAGACCAGCCTGGGCAACACAGAGAGACCCCACCTCTACAAGAATTAGCTGAGCATGGTGGCAATTGTCTGGACTCCCGGCTACTCAGGAGGCTGAGGCAGGAGGATCGATGGAACCCAGAAGATGGAGGCTGCAGTGAGTGAGGACTGCACCACTGCACTCCAGCCTGGGTGACAGAGTAAGGCCGTGTCTCAAAAATAATAAAATCCTATCGGCCGGGCGCGGTGGCTCACGCCTATAATCCCAGCACTTTGGGAGGCCGAGGCGGGTGGATCACCAGGTCAAGAGATCCAGACCATGCTGGTCAATATGGTGAAACCCCGTCTCTACTAAAAATACAAAACATTAGCTGGGCATGGTGGCACGTGCCTGTAATCCCAGCACTTTGGGAGGCCAAGGCGGGTGGATCACGAGGTCAAGAGATCGAGACCATCCTGGTCAACATGGTGAAACCCCGTCTCTACTAAAAATACAAAACATTAGCTGGGCATGGTGGCGCGTGCCTGTAATCCCAGCTACTCAGGAGGCTGAGGCAGGAGAATTGTCTGAACCCAGGAGGCGGAGGTTGCGGTGAGCCGAGATCGCGCCATTGCACTGCAGCCTGGGTAACAAGAGCGAAACTCTGTCTCAAAAAAAAAAAAAAAAATACAAAAAGTAGCCGGGTGGGATGGTGGGCGCCTGTAATCCCAGCCACTCGGGAGGCTGAGGCAGGAGAATCGCTTGAACCCGGGAGGCGGAGCTTGCGGTGGGCCGAGATCGTGCCACTGCACTCCAGCCTGGGCGAAGAACAAGACTCCGCCTCAAAAAAATAAATAAATAAATCAAAATAAAATAAAACAAAATCCTACCAGAGCCGCTCTCCAGAGCCCAGGCCTGCTGGGTGAGTGACAGGAAGCCACCAGGAGGCTGCGTCAGACATCAGGAGGCTGAGATCCTAATCACTGCCTGACGCGTGCCGGCCTCCAAGAGCGCACGTCCCAGGCCCCACGGCGGCCAGGTTCCAGGTGTCCAGGGAGAGAACCCGCGGCCCCGAGCGGGCTGCACCAGCCCCTCCGCAGCCTGGCCGCCCACCAGATCTGCAGCTGACAGCACAATGTCACAGCTGTCGAGGATCTGCAGGCGGAAGTTAGCCTCAAGCCCTGCCAGGACCCGGGAGGAAGAGGCAGAGACGGTGCCAAGAGGCTGGCCAGCAGGCCAGGGCTGCCACGTGCCAGGAAGGGGGTGGGGCAGGCGCCGGAGCCAACAGGGGCCCCAGCAGGGGTAAGGGGGGGAACATCGGCTGGGCCGGCTAAGCCCAGGCCACTGTTGACACTGGAGTGCAGGTGCCTGGCCAGCTGGGCGGGCGGTGGCGTCGGCGGCTGGACCTGCCACAAACGGCCCGGGATAAGATCCCGGGACTGGCTGGGCATGCTGACTCAGGCCTGTAATCCCAGCACTTTGGGAGGCCGGGTTAGGCAGATCACTTGAGCTCAGGAGTCTGAGACCAACCTGGGCAAATAGTGAGACCCTGTCTCTAGGGGAAAAAAAAAATCCCAGGACTGCAGGGAGGGGCCTCCCCCACCCCCACTGCCCACACCCCTCCTTGGCCCCCAACTTCTCGGAATTCCAATCCCATCTCCTGTAAGACCTAGTCCGGGGTGGCACCCGGCTTCCAACCCCTACACACAAGCCCAGCTTCAGTCCAACCTCAGGGCCTTTGCACAAGCTGTTCCCTGCCCGGGACACCCAGGAAGTAGGCGCCGGGGGACCAGGCATCCAGCAGGAGCTCCGTGAATACCTGAGGCTGCGGGTGACACATGGTGACCCCTCCCTGCTCTGGCCTCAGTTTCCCCACCTCAGCTTCACGCTGCAGAAAACCCCTGACAGCCCTGGCTGCAGCGCCTGCGACCCTGACCCAGAGTGTCACCCGGACGAACTCCACGGTGGCTTCTGCCGCCTTTGTTCCAGACACGCTGCGGGCTGAGGGGTCAGGGCGCCTGGCTAGTCGCCCCGTCGGTTTTGGGCCTTGGAGGTTGGGGCTGTCTGAACGGGGCATGTGTCCAGGGTCAGGGGGGTCCCATTCACCTCTGACCCCCCCCCACCAGGACTGACTGACTGAGGGGGGGCCTTGACCCCCGCTGTGGGCTTGGCTATGACCCTGAGGGGGTGGCGGTCTCCGTCCAACTCCTGCCCGCCCCCCGCCCCAGTCCAGGGAGCCCGGACAGACGGCAAATATTGGGTGAATAAACAAATGAAATCAAACAGAATCCGCCCTCAACGTGCTCATCAGTATCCGCTTAGACCCAGAAAAGATCACGCGCCCGGCGCCCCAGGCCCGTCTCCCAGCGCCGAGCCTCGGCTTTCTCACAGGCAAAACGGGACGCATGGTGGCGTGGCCCGTAGAGTCTCCCCTTCTCTGGGAAAGGGAAACTGAGTCACAGAGCAGGGTGGGGTCGGCGAGACACCCCCGAGTCCCCGCCGCAGCCCTGCCCGTTCCCCCACACTGCGCTGCGTCCGGCTTTCAGCCCTTTACTGGGTGTGAACTTCCAGGCAGCCCAAGCTGAACGCTCTCAAGGGCTGCTGGGGTCAGAGCCGCGCCTCCTACCAAGCACCCCTGGAGTCAGGAGCCCCAGGGAGGCCCCACTGGGTGTCTGTGCCTCAGCCCCTCCTGGAAGGCTCCTCAGAGCAGGTCCTGGAAGCCCAGGGTCGGAGGGGCTCCCCTTGGGCAGGCGTGTCCCAGCGCGTCCGTCACCCACCTCCCCGCGGGAGCCCAGACCAGCCTCTGGCCCTGAGCGAGAAGGTGGCTCCCCCCAGCCGCGCCCAGAGGTCAGGGCACAGCCCAGCTGGCCGAGGGCTGGAATGTGAGCCCGGCCACCATCTGGTTTCCATCTGCCCGGCCCAGCACCGCCCAACTTCAAAGCACCCCCCGCCTGGCCACTTCCTCTGGCCTGGCCGCCTGTGGGGAAAGGCCGGGGCGGCCCCTGCTTCCTCCTGCAGCCTGGGGTCCCTGAGACCCCCCTGCCAGCCCGGCCTTAACTGCCCACTCAGAGCCTCACAGGCCCTGGCTCCTGCAGCTACCCCTGAGCCACCCCCGGGTCCCCTCGGCGGCCAGCTGCAGCCCGCAACCCCCAGGCTGTCCACAGACTCCGGGGCATGGAGAAGGCTCCTCACCGCGTCACCACGGCCCCCGCCCTCTGCCCGCATCGCCCACATGCCTGGTTCCTGCAGCCCACGCCCGGCTCAGGCTGGCCCCGGCCCCTCCCTCCCAGACCTGCCTTTCCGTCTCTGCCCCGTCACCAGCTCTGACGTGGGGCCCGGAGCCCCCCAGGTTTCTGCTTCCCGGCTGGTACCCCTCACACATCCCACAGCAGAGCCCACGCGCTGGGGGCATCGGCGCTGCGGCCTCCACAGGAACCCCGGTTCTCAACATGACGCCCGGCTCAGCACGCACCCCGAAAAACGTGGGCCTTCCAAGGGCCCCAGTGGGTGGGCCCAGGAACCTGCGGCCCCCCGCCCCGCGGGACGCGCCCACTCACCTGCTTAAACTGTTCCTCGTACGTCCAGTCCCCGTGGTCCGGTGGCTGCAGCTGTGGGGCGACACAGGCGGCCCCTCCAGAGTGGGCAGCGCCAGGCCCGGGCCGCTCCTGGGTCCCCAGTGCCCTGGGAACGCCGTCACTGCCGCGGAAGGCCTGGGGCGGCTGGGCCTTGTGGGGGAACAGGGCTGAAGTGCTCAGGCTGGCGGGGCCTGGGGGCCCCAGCCCCTCCTCGTCCTCCTCCTCCTCCTCCTCCTCCTCATAATCCTCCTCCTCCTCATCCTCCCCGAGGTCTTCCTCCATCTCCTCCTCCTCCCATTTGGGCTTCCTGGGGTGAGCAGAGGGCAGGAGTCAGGCAAGAAGGTACCGGCTCGTCCCTGCCCAGGGACAGACCCGCTCCCCGACCCAACCTCAGTTTCTTTCTCTGGAAATGGGTTTGCAGAGAGCTCCCGTGAGCACAGCCTGTGCGGGGCCCATTTTGTTCTCAATTAGCCCAGAACAGCACAAACGGCCCCTACAGCATGAATTTTGGGGCCCTGAAAAGCATCACGCGGGCAGGCACGGTGGCACACGCCTACAATGCCTGCAGCACTCTGGGAGGCCAAGGCAGGAGGATCCCTGGAGCCCAGGAGGTGGAGGCTGCAGTGAGCTGTGATGTCATCGCTGCACCTCAGCCTGGGCCACAGAGGAAGACCCTGTCTCTTAAAAAAAAAAAGCGGGGGCGGATTATCATCGCAGGCTGGTTCCCGCAGCAGGCATCCTGTGCCCGGCTCCACCCCCTCGTCCCTCCACAGGGAGAATTCTCCCACCGCTACCTGAAATCCCCCCCGCTCCAAGCCGCTGCCCCTCCACGACGCCCCTCCTAGGTTTTCCTGGCAGCCCTTTGTACAGCCTGACATCCCGTGGCTTCTTTGCTAGGTTGTGTTTGTTTCAGGAGACAGGGTCTCCCGTCGCCCAGGCTGGAGTGCAGTGGCGCGATCACCGCTCCCTGCAGCCTCAGCTTCCTGGGCTCACGCCAGCCTCCTGCCTCGGCCTCTCCAGTAGCTGGGGCCACAGATGCATACCACCACCCCCAACTCCTTTTTGTGCTTTCTGTAGAAACAGAGTCTCACTATATTGCCCAGGCTGGTCTGGACCTTTTCAGCCCAACTGATTGTCCCACCTCAGCCTCCCAAAGTGCTGGGATTACAGGCGTGGGCTGCTGGTCCTCCCAGCAAGATGCGGGTTCCTAGAGGCCAGGGTCCCACAGCAAGTGAGCCCTCGGCCAGCCCTGGGGGGACCCACACGCCGCACAGGCCCTGCCGGCTGCAGATTTTATCTGCCCCCGGGGCTGAATCTGCCGTAGCCAGCAGTGACTAGGCTGCTTTAAGTTAACTAGGATGAGACGAAGTTAAAGACCCGGCCCTCAGTCCTCCTGGCCACATTTCCCCGTGTTTGGCAACCACTTCCGGCTGCAGGGTGGAGACGGGGGACGTTTTCACCGCCATCCTGACAGGCCCATTCTCCGGCACCCAGTACAGGCTCGAGAAACACTTGCTGGGGGGGGACAGGGTCCATGGGATGCTCACTTACTCCCTTTAATAAAAAACAGGAGCTTGAGACCAGCCTGGCCAACTTGGCGAAACCCCATCTCTACTAAGAACATGAAAATCAGCCGGGCGTGGTGGCGCGCGCCTGTGATCCCAGCTACTCGGGAGGCTGAGGCAGGAGAATCACCTGAACCAGGGAGGCGGAGGCTGCAGTGAGCCCAGATCGTGCCACTGCCCTCCAGCCTGGGCGACAGAGCAAGAAAGACTCTGTTTGAAAAAAGAAGCACATTCTCGGCTCACTACAACCTCCACCTCCCGAATCCAAGCCATTCTCTGCCTCAGCCTCCCGAGTAGCTGGGATCACAGGCGCGCACCACCACGCCCGGCTAATGTTTGTATTTTTAGTAGAGACGGGGTTCCGCCATGTTGGCCAGGATGGTCTCGATCTCCCGACCTCAGGGGATCCGCCCGCCTGAGCCTCCCAAAGTGCTGGGATTACACTCGTGACCCACAGCACCCGGCTAAGAAACATTTTTTTTTGAGACAGGACCTGGCTCCTTCGCCCAGGCTGGAGTGCAGTGGTGCAATCACAACCTACCTCCACCTCCTGGGCTCAAGGGACCCCCCTGCCTCAGCCTCCCTAGTAGCTGGAACCACAGGCAGGCATCGCCGTGCCTGGCTAATTTTTTAATTTTTTCCAACAACGGGGTCTTGTGATCCCTGGGCCCAAGTGATCCTCCCATATCAGCCTCCCAAAGTGCTGGGATTACAGGCAGAAGGCCCCACGGCCAGACCCTCACTTCCATTCTGCAGATGAGCAGAGTGACGCCCAGAGCCAGTAACAGCCCCCAAAGCCCCTGCCCGGGACCCCAACTCACATGTCCTCATCGGAGGCCATATCCTCAAAGTGCTCCTCTCCTGGCCCTTCTCTGCCTCCGCCAGGCACGACTGGTGAGCCCAGTGTCCCCTCCCGGGCTGCGTCCTCCTCCTCCAAGCCTGGGGGCCCGTCCTCGGAGTCACCGGGGCTGGCTGGGTGTCCCAGGCCCGCAGCCGCAGCCCGCATGGCGGCCAGGGCGGCCATCTGAGCCCGCTGCATGCGGGCACTCTCGGGCTCTCTGTCCTCATCGGCGGTGGCGCGGGCCCGGCCGGGGGGCACAGCGGGAGGCTCGGGGGGCAGCTGCTGCCGGGCCTCCAGCTCCTGGCGCGCCCGCTGCTGCCGCTGTAAGAGTGTCTCCATCACGGCCTGTAGCTTCATGGCCCTGCGGGCCGGGCCACCGCCACCACCACGGGCGCTAGGGGTGGGCGGCGGGGGCAGCCCCTGTGGGGACGGGGCCCGGCCACACTGCAGCGTGGGGGCCGCGGGGGAGCCGGGGCAGTGCAGGGTGGCAGGGGGCGGGGGCGGGGGCCGCCGGGCTCAGGCTGAAGGCTGACAGGGCATGCCTCTTCCTCACGCTGGGCTCCAGGGGACAGCGGCCGGCATCTGGCTCATTCACACATTCGCAGAAACCTGAGGGTGGAAAAAGAGATGGTCAGGGCAGGCCTGCTCAGGCCCCCTCCTTCCCAGCGAAGGCCCCCCGGGGATCATCTCTCATGCAGGATGCAGACCTGGAGGACTTCCTGGAGGCAGTGGCACAGGCTCTTCGAATACACCCTACCATGGGCCTGGGTAGCAAGGTCACCCCGCACTGGGCCACAGAGAAACACGCTGTGGCCAGCCTGCCTGCCCCGGGAGATCTCGGATTATTGCTTCACAAGCAGGGTGGGGGAAATGGGCGTTCCTGGCCTGTGATTGGCCAGTAGGCTCCAGGCCCCAGTCAGGCGGGTTCTAAGTTCCAGAGGCTGCCCCAGCCCCTGCTGGAGCGGCCCAGGTATCCTCCCATCTCAGGCCGACAGAGATGGTGACTGCCGGACATTGAGCGCCTGTTGCATACCGGCCCTGGGCTAATCCTCCTCCCATCACACAACTCAACGGCAACGCCCAAGCCCCAACCTCTGGGCCTCAGTTTCTCCACATGCAAAATGGTGTGGAACACAGTACCCCCCTCACGGCCCTCAAGGTGGGATGCAGCGAGTTCATGAGGTTAAGGTGGGAACCAACAGGTGTCAGGGAAGGAGGCGCCAGGGCCGTCCCATTTCACGGCTGAGGACAACTGAGGCTCAGAGACCCTTTGCCTGGACACACAGGGCTCAGGCTTGAACTCAGGGCTGAGTAACCACAGAGCCCCCCACACAGACCCCACACTCTCTCTGCAGGGCAGCAGGAGTCTGGAGTTCCCCAGTCCTCTGCGACCCTCAGCAGGCCAGATGCCTCGTACTGCAACGTGCTCACCCCAGCCTCCAGTCCCATCCACCCAGGGCCAGTCCTAATGGCCTGGGCGCAGAAAGGAGACATCCTGGGGCCTGGGTCCCAGCCCAGGCCACACCTCCACCCACCCAGGCCGCCAATAAAACAGGCCAGGTGGAACCCAACAGGCCTGGGTGCCACCAAGCGACACCCCAGAGTGAAGGCACATGGTGGAGACAGGGGAGGCGGCAAAGCTCCACCCTCCCGAGAGGCAGCTGGGCCCAGGAGGCCGCCCTCAACCCTTACCCTGGCAAAGGAGCCCCCAAGACTCATAAACAGCTCCTGGGCAGACAAGGACTAGAGAGGGAAAGAGGCACAGGCTCCTGGGACTCAGATCCCTCCCATGACCCGACCCCACCCAGGTCGGTGCTGCACAGCAGACCCCCCCAGACCTCCCGTCTCACCGGAGGGGTCCTGCAAAAGCCACCGAGAGCCTTGTGGCCCCCTCTGCCCCAGACTCCCTTTACCCAGACCCCTGAGCCTTTCGGCCCCACGGGTGAATGGCAGTCGGGGGGGCAGGTGGGTGACCCAGGGGAGAAATCAGGGAGGGTACATTCCAAAATAGCCTCTGGGTCCCATCTGTTGTGGGGACAGAGGTCCCAGGTCACAAAGACCTCAGGGCCACAGTGCGGGGGAGGGACCAGGAGAGCCTGGTGGTCCAGAGCCCCCCGCCCCAGGCCCTTCACCCACCACCCACCCCAAGAAAGTGCTGAGGGGGCATTTCTGGCTCAGGGTCCGGTCAGGTCTGCTGCCCCTCCCCCACCTTTGACAACTTCAAGAAGCCCCCCCCCCCACGGAAGAGCTCCAAGCAAAGCCCCCCCCTCTTTGGGGGCACAGAAGGAAGAGGCCAAAGGAAGCCACTCCCCCCACCACCCCGCTCCGAGCTCTGCTGGGTTTAATGACCCTTCCGGGTCGCCGGGTGGGGGAGGGGAGCAGGACAGGCCTCCACGTTGGGGCCGGTGGAGGGGGCAGGTGGGGATCCCAGATTCCCCCCCCAGGCCAAGCCTGGGTGCCCCCCCAAGGCCGCCATTAACCCTAAACTGGCAACGCCCGCCCCCTTCAGACCCCTCCCCCAAGAGCCCTTTGTCCTCGACCCCCACCCCCATTTTATGACAGCCCCAAGGGAGAGGCCGGGACGGGGCGCTGGGTGGTCGTTGGACCTGGCAGGGGTGGGGGGCGGAGGGATCCTGGGCCACACCCTCCTCCCCCCAGGCCTCCGGAGAGAGGTCACCCGCTCGGCCCGGGCCTTGCAAAACATGGTTATTTAAAGAGTTGTGCAAGGCCCTGGGCCCGCGGGTGGCGAAAGGGGCCCCTCACTCCACGAGGGGAAGGGGGGGGAGGGGCGGGCAGAAAGCTGGGGAGGGGGCTGAGAAAGTCCGGGGGGGGGGCGGCTGGAGGAAGTGAGAAAAAAACTCAAGAGGGAGAAACAAGAAGACAGAAACCCTGGCCCGGATTTCAAAGGCTTCTTGGAAAGCGGCCGATTTGCATGGGGGGCGGGGGGAACCCCTCCAGCCCGAGCGCCTAAAAACGGAAGATAATCGAACCCGCCGCCTGGGGTCGGCGCCGAACGTTGGAGTTGACAAACGCGCGCTCCCAGCGCTTCCTGCGCCCGCTTTTGTGTCTGGGGGGCCCCGACACGGGTCGGGGGGCTCTTCCTGGGAATCCCCGCCGGGGCCCCCGGCAGCCGGGCCCGGCCCACCCGGGCGCGCGGGGGCCGCCGTGTCTCCCTCGGGGGCCCCCCTCTCCGCGCTGGCGCGGACACTTTATAAATAAACCAGCCCGGCCGCGGAGGCTCTCCGGGAACTGCCCTCCCTCCTCTCTGCGCTCCCGAATGAACCCCTGATTTCGGGGGGAAGGAACAAAAACGAAATAAAGTCCCGGGGTGCAGCCCCCGGCGCGCGCGCGCAGAGACCGTTTCCTTCCGCTGGGGAGGGGGGAGGCGCGCGCCCGCGACCCCCGATCGCCCCCGCTCGCCCGATCCAGCGGGGAGTGGGGTCTCCAAGCCGGGCGCGGAGAAGACCCCCCGAACCCCGACCCGCCGGGGCCGCGCGCCCAGCCCGGGCCCTCCCCCCGACATCTCCGCCCAACTTTGGGGACCCCGTTCTCTGGCTTCCAGGGCGCACTGCGCCCACCCCGGCACCGGAACCCGCGCCCCGAACGGCCAGCGCGCCCCCCGGCCTCACCGCGCAGGGCGGCTCGGGGCGGGGGGTCGCAGCGCCCCGCGCCTGGGGTCGGCCTGCCCGGGCCCGCCTGGCCTCCCGCCGCCGGCTCCCGGCCCCGCCCGACTCACCGAGCCGCCCGCCGCGGCCGCGTCTACACCCGCCCGCCCGATCCGAGAGAGGCGCCCCGCGCGCGGCCGGCCCCCGCCCCGCCCCGCCCCCACCCCAGACAAATCACCAGGGGACGAGTCGCTCTCGGATGCAAATACCTGGCCGGTGATTCAGCGCCGCGGCCCGGGCGCGGGAGGGGCTCGCCAGGGCTCCCCACGTTTCCCCGGACGCCCCCTCGCCCCCCGCGCGCGGTCGGACGACGCGCAACCAGCCCGGGGGCGCTGGGGAGCCGGGCGGAGCGGACGGAAATTTTCAGGTCGCGGCCCCTTTAAAGGATAATAAATAATAAACGGGAAGGGGGACCAGCGCCGCGGGAGGCCCCGCCCCCGGCCTAGGGACGGTGCGCAAAGTGCGCGCCGCGGCCCCAAGCGCAGAAGGCGCTGGGGACACGGGCCGGAGCGGGAGCACCCCGAGTGGGGAAGAGGGCACTGGGCCTCCGCCCGGGCGGACTGGGGGGCATCGGAGCCGGCTCCGGGACCAGGACCTTCCCCTTCCTACGGAGCGCCGAGGCCGGGCCTCCGGGGCTCGGAGTTTCACCTTCGCCCCTTAGATGCAGCGCCCCTGCGAGAGTGACTTCACGGCCGCAGCCGCAGTTTCCACGTCTGTGAAATGGGCTGAAAGACCCGGTGTGGAGCGGGGCGGGCGGGGCGGGGGGAAGGACCCCGGGCTCCGCGGGCCTCCGTCTGGGAGGGCCGGGCGGCGCGCGGGGGGCTCTGCGCGGGCGTGGGGAGGTGCGCGCGGGGACCCCGAGACCCCTGGTGGAGGCCAGGACGACCCCGCCCGGCCCGGCTGCCACCAGCGCTGGGGGCTCGGCCGCCCACGGCGAAGCGAGGGCGGTGATGACTTCCACGGTCCCGGCGCGCGCCTGCCCGGCCACGTGCCCCGCGCCGCCCTCCAGGGAGGTCCCCGCCTGTCCCCAGCCCGCACGCCTCTCGGTAGTGGGCACCCTTGTGGTCCTCACTGCGCAGAGCAGTAAACTGAGGCACGCAGCGGGGTGCAAGGAAGGCGGTGTTGGGGGGGCGCGTGCTCTGCAGGGAGCTGTGAGCATGGAGGCACCCCCCGGGGGCTAAGCGCAGAGGCACAGGCTCCAGGCCGGATGTGAGCCCAGGGGAGCCTGGAGGGCGGGCAGGGGCCACCCAGGGGGGCCCTCACCTGTGGAGGGTCTCTAAGGCGGGCTCGGGTCCCTGGTGCTGAGTGCTGGGGGGCGGGGTCGCAGGCGTCTCTCACCCCTTCCCCTAAAGTAACGTTGCCACTTTCTCTCTGTCCTTCCCGCAGCTGCACCTCCTCCCGTGACAGAACGACGGTGGCTCAAGCCTGTAATCCCAGCACTTTGGGAGGCCAAGGAGGGCGGATCATCTGAGGTCGAGAGTTCGAGACCAGCCTGGCCAACATGGTGAAAACCCCCCGTTTCTACTAAAAATACAAAAATCAGCTGGGTGTGGTGGTGCTCTCCTGTAATCCCAGCTACGCGGGAGGCTGAGGCAGGAGAATCCCTGGTGGAGGTTGCGGTGAGCCCAGATCACAGCGCGGCGCTCCCAGGCAGGAAAGCTGCCCCCCCCCCCACTCCAAGGCCTGAATCCAGCCTTCTGGCCCCAGGGCCACATGTAGCCTAATGCCAGCAGGTGTCTGAGAGGCGTCCGCCATTGCTCTATTAAACACCCAAACCCAGCTGTCAGCCCCATCCCTGAGGGAGAGGCCCGAGACACCTGCCCCAGGTGGGGGTTGCTTTGGAGAGACGTTCCCTGTGCTCCCCTCTAGGGCAAGACCCCAGTTCAAGTCTGAAGGTGCAGAAAAGCCCCTGCCACCAAAGATGGAGCACGAGGAGGCCAGCGGACCCAAAAGGCACCTGGAGAGCAGATGCATCGGCCTCTGTGCCTCAGTTTATCCCTTTGTAATATGGGCCAATATTAATTCAACCCCTTCACCATCCTGTTTAGGATTAGGTTGCCCTTTGTTCAAAGGGAACGGCATGGAGTGGGGGCATAATTACCCCTAGGGCAGGAAGGGTAGAGCCCCTACCCGTTTCCCAGGAGGAAGCTGTGACCCGCGTAGCTGGCTGCAGCTTCCCCCAAAGGGGCCAGGCGCAGGGAGGTTCGGACGGAGGATGGCAGCTGCCTGTAGTGAGGGGCTCCTATTTATAGCCTGGAGGCCGGAGAGGGAGCTGAGAATGTCTACACAGACTAGCTGGCTCCACCATATTCCAGATTCCCCTTGCCTGGCGGGGGTAGGCAGCAGTGTGGAGTGAGGTCAGGGCAGACCCCTCTGAGTCCGTGCCCCAGGTCTAAAGATTCCCGAGCCAGACCATCTCCTGGGGCTTCTGTGGCTCTGGGAACCTCCAGCACAGGAAAACAGCCTGATCCTCACCCAACCCTGCAGGTCACTGGACCTGTTCTCCACTCTGCACTCCGGGGTTGGGGACATCCTCATAAAAGCTTCCAGATCGCATTCTCACAGCTCTTCAGGTTCAAAAAGCCCAAACTAGGTCCGGGCCCAGTGGCCCACGCCTGTAATCCCAGCACTTTGGAAGGGCGAGACAGGCGAATAACCTGAGGTCAGGAGTTCGAGACCAGCCTGGCCAACATGATGAAACACCGTCTCTACTAAAAATACAACAAATTAGCTGGGCGTGGTGGCACCTGTAATCCCAGCTACTTGAGAGGCTGAGGCAGGAGAATCGCTTGAACCAGGGAGTTGGAGGTTGTGGTGAGCCGAGATGGCGTCACTGCACTCCAGCCTGGCGACAGAGACTCCTAAAAAAAGGAAAAAAAAAAAAAAACAAGAAGTGAGCTCAGCACAGTGTGTCACGCCTGGGAGGCTTAGGCGGGAGGATGGCCTAAGACTAGGTGTTCAAGATGAGCCTGGCCAACACAGTGAGACCCTGTCTCCACAAAAAAATTGTAAAATAAAAAAATTAAGGCTGAGCACTGTGGCTAAAGACTATAATCCTGGCAATTTGGGAAGCTGAGAAGGGAGGGTCGCCTGAGCCCGGGAGTTTGAGACCAGCCTGGGCTACATAACGAGACCCCATCTCTACAAAAAAATACAAAAATTAGCCCGGTAGGGTGGCACACGCCTGTAGTCCCAGCTGTGTGGGAGGCTGAGGCAGGAGAATTGCCTGAACCCAGGAGACAGAGGTTGCAGTGAGCCGAGATCGCGCCATTGCACTCCAGCCTGGGCAACAAGAACGAAACTCTATCTCAAAAAAAAAGAAAAAGCTCATATATATGTATGTGTGTGTGTGTGTGTATTCACATACATGTATGTGTACATACACATATAAAACGAATCCAACCGGTCATATCCATCTTTGTATCAACCCAGACATAAAATATCATTTTCCCCCTTTTCCAGGACATGAAGCAGAATAAAATATTCTTTTCGTCTTTCTTTTACGGTGACTATTGTAGAATAAATTTACCATTTTAAATATTTTTTCATAGGAGGGGCCCTCAAAAGCAAAGTTCCTAAGACCAGGATCATTCATCATGTGTCTCTGATTGTCCCACTTCCCAGCGGGAGAGTCCAGGTTGGGGTCCCAATGAGCGACACCCACCCCTGGGCGTCGGGCACCCCTGGACACCCAAGAAACGTTGGAGGCGAGACAAGAAGGCGGGAAACCTCAGCGGGCCGCGCGTGCCACCTGCCGGGCACCTGCGGAACTGCGGGCGGAGGCGGGGCTCCCGCTGGGGCGGGGCCTTGGGGGCGACGCTGCCGTCGGGGCGGGGCCGGCGGCCGCTAGGTGGCGCCGTCTCACCTGAAAATGAATTTCGTGGCCGGGATCACCGGATCACCGGAGACCAGAGTTCGAGACCAGCCTGGCCAATATCATGAAACCCCGTCTCTACTAAAAATAAAAAAATTAGCCGGGCGCGGTGGTGCACGCCTGTAATCCCAGCTCCTTGCGAGGCTGAGGCAGGAGAATTGCTTGCACCCCAGAGGCGGGGGTTGCAGTGAGCTGAGATCGCACCACTGCACTTCAGCCTGGGCGACAGAGCAAAAACTCCGCCTTAAAAAAACAAACAGGCCGGGCCGGGCGCGGTGGCTCACGCCTGTAATCCCAGCACTTTGGGAGGCCGAGGCGGGTGGATCACGAGGTCAAGAGATCCAGACCATCCTGGTCAACATGGGGAAACCCCGTCTCTACTAAAACTACAAAAAATTAGCTGGGCATGGTGGCGCGTGCCTGTAATCCCAGCTACTCAGGAGGCTGAGGCAGGAGAATTGCCTGAACCCAGGAGGCGGAGGTTGCGGTGAGCCGAGATCGCGCCATTGCACTCCAGCCTGGGTAACAAGAGCGAAACTCCGTCTCCAAAAAAAAAAAAAAAATACCAAACAAACAAAAAAGAGAGATGGAGCCTAGTTCTGTTGCCCAGGCTGGAGTGCAGTGGTGCCAACTGAGCTCACTGCAACCTCCATCTTCTGGGCTCAAGTAATTCTCCTGCCTCAGCCTCCCAAGTAGCTGGGACTACAGACGCCTACCACCACGCCATGCTAATTTTTGTATTTTTAGTAGAAACTGGTTTTCACCATGTTGGCCAAGCTGGTCTCGAACCCCTGAGCTTAGGTGATCCACCCACCTCGGCCTCCCAAAGTGCTGGGATTATAGGTGTGAGCCACCACGCCCAGCATAAATTTCCTTGTAGAGATGGGGTCTTGCTATGTTGCCCAGGCTTGTCTTCAGCTCCTGGCCCCAAGCAATCTTCCCTCCTCAGCCCTCCAAAGCATTAGCATTTTAAGTGTGAACCAGCAAGACCAGTAACCTTGTGGGACTTCTAAGCTCGGGCCTGAAGAGTTCTTGAGCGTTCTTGGCTGGGTGCAGTGGCTCTCACCTGTAATCTCAGCACTTCGGGAGGCTGAGCCAGGGGGATCACTTAAGGTCAGGAGTTTGAGACCAGCCTGATTAACAAGGCGAAACCCCATCTCTACTAAAAATACAAAAATTAGCCAGGCGTGGCGGCCTATTTCTGTAATCCCAGCTACTTGGGAGGCTGAGGCAGGAGAATCGCTTGAGCCAGGGAGGCGCAGGTAGTAGTGAGCTGAGGCAGAGGCTGCAGTGAGCTGAGATCGCGCCACTGCACCCCAATGAGACCATGTCTCAAAAAAAAAGGAAGACAGAGAGAGAGGGGGAGGAGGAGAGAGAGAGAGAGAGAGGGAGGGAGGGAGGAGGGGGGAAGAAAGAAGGAGAGAAAGAAAAAGAAAAGTGGAATGAATCATACAGAGCGACAACTACAAGACCGTGAGAAAACATCTGACATGTTCTGGAATGATCCAGAAAGTCCCGTGTTG